CAGGAATGTGTTTTTAGTTGAATGGGGTTGCGGCTAAATGTGTATGGAAGTGGTTGATTGTGTAGAATGGTGAATGATCTGATCCCCTTTCCAAGGCTGCGACATAGGTTTATATTCCTCCCAAAACATGTCAAAACCCTAGGTAATTAAGGCTAGGGTGCAGCATAATTAAAGGAAAGGCTTAGAACTTAGCTATTTTGTCCCACAAGGAGTAAAAATCAGAAATTAAAGAGAAAAGACTAAGGGATATGCGGCCGGAATCTTTTAGAGAAGGGGAAAGTGATTTATGGCAGAAAATAGGAAAATGAGACTCTCCCTTGCACGACAAGGAATGAGAATGGAAGGGGAAAGGGAAAGGTGGTGCGGCAAGGCCTTGAATGGTGCAAGGAACCTTTGGTTTGTATCCTAAAATGCATAGGAACCTTCAATGTTGCTGGAACTTAGGGCCATTTAGGATTAAGAAAGGTCAAACCAAAATAGGAAACCTTGGCTTAACTTTCCTACTTCAAGTAGGAATCCTCATTCTTCTAGGAATCCTCTTTCAATTAGGAATCCTCACATCATTAGGTCTTCAATTTCATCAATTCCTTTAGCTCCAAGCATGTGTCATCCATTCCAAGCCCAATTTTGCTCCAAAAAGGCTCCAAATGCACTTCTTTGCCACATTAGCCATATAAACCTAAAATTGCACGAAAATGACTTTAAACACTAAAATAACTAAGGAATAACAACATAAATGCACAAGAACAAGCAAACTAAGTCACATAAATATGCTTCTATCAAATTCCCCCACACTTAGCTTTTGCTAGTCCTTTAGCAAAACAAACAATCAAAAGAAACAAGACATACAATCTAAACCTTCCAACATTTGCCTCAGGGATTTCCAATGAAACATGACATGCCAAAGATCACTACTCACATGAATTTAAGCAATCCTTACCCTCGAGCATACTTAATCATAGTCACCATTCACTAGCTCACATTTAATCGATTAAAACAACATTTTGAATGTAGTCTCCATAGAAGGCCACTTCTTTTTAGTACCCAATCTGAAGCGACGATGTATCTCAACCAGATTAGCAGCAACCTCCGGATGATAGCGAGATAAATCAGTAAACCTCCTGTAGTACTCATTAGCCGTCATCTTCCCCTGCTTCAACTCTTGTTTCTTGCGATCTATATGCTCAGAAGGAATAAATCTCTTATGAAATAACTGCTTAAAAACTTCCCAATCAACAACTTCTTTTGGTGACAACTGATACGACTCCTATCTCCCCCAAGATGCAGGCTGCTCACCTAAAAGCCAGGTAGTCATCTCAACCCACCTATCCTCCGGAAGATTCCCCTGCCTATGCATCAAACGGAAAGTCTTCTTAAGATGATTAATCCATTTCTTTACTCCTTCAGACCCTTCATTACCCAAGAAATGATTCAACTTTAAATTATAAATAGTCTCAAGAGGCGTCATCTAGGGAGGACGAAGAGAAGACTGAATAGCATTAGCAATAGCTTCCCCTAACTGAGCGATATCGGGGAAGATCTCTACGAGGAGGCATAGTTTTGACAGAAGACACTGAAATAATTAGAAAATTCACAAGATATGCAGGACTGCAAACCTAAGCTCTGATACCAACTGACACACCTCCACCTAAATCAGGGCGTGTTGGCCGTCATGTGAGAGTGACGTAACCATGTGCACAGTGCAGAATCAATAATGATATAGAGAAATACGAGTGAATAAAAACCAAACTACTAAAAGTACTAGCTAAAATAAGGTGCTAGTGCGAGATTAAGTGTGAAATACACAATCAGAGCATAAATAGCCTACATGCAGTTCGACTAGACAAGTATTAATTATACAACACCCAAAAGTGATCCTACATTTGTGATGTTCTGTCAGAACCACCGTCAAAATCCCCATGAGCCACCAAAGCACTTCTACCTAAGACCTGGAGGGGTGATGAGCACATATTTTACTACTTATTTTACTCCGAAAGCTACATTTTCTTGTGTCATGTTTGTTCAAAATGAATGAAATTACATGGTTTTGAGAAAATTATGAATTCAATCCTTTTAAGTTCAATTCAAGTAAAGTAGTTCGAATGTGGTTTTGTTCAGTAAGTGGATTGAGTGGATTGAGTGGAAGTGTGTTTGTCATTTTTTTTTGTAAGTTGAAATTGGTCTGAAGTGATATTCACAAGTTGGCAAAATTTTAATTACATTTTTGGCTCATCCAAATCTTACTTTCCTTCAGAAATTAGAGCGGCTTATTTGGTTGAATTTTTGTGTAGGAATCATATTGTTTTACAAGTCCAAAAAGAGGTTTGACAAGTCAACAAAATGGGAAGACATGGCACGTGATTTATTCAATTGCACAAAGGAAGGCCTTATCCTTCCATTTACACCGACAGAGGAGAGAAAGGTCTAATCCAAATTTTCTGGAGCAAACCGCTCCATACAATTGCAGCAGAGCAAGAGGCTTTAAGCGATCAAATTCAACAAGAGATGGAAACCCAAATTTCCATTTCCGATTTTAGTTTGTGGGGTCTTAGCAGGAGCATGGGTTATGGTTATTGGTCCATTACTTACTGGTGTCAATTGACTTGGGATTCAGCCACTTTCAGATTTATTGGAAGTCAATTGATTTGGGAGATTAAAATTTCAGTTACTAAGCAACTGGAGAGTCGAAGAAACTGATTGGGAGGCTAGGACTGCAGTGAGTAAACCCAGGCGGTACAAGGCAATAAATGGGCATTAAGGTCTTGACGGTTACGGAAAAAAAAAAGGAAAACGGCTAATTGGAGGAATGAAAGAGGCAGCCTGGTGATGATTGGAAAAAAGGAAGAGAAAACTAGGCAGCAACAAGGAAAAAAAAAGAAGCAGCAGTGGCAGAGCACGGGGATTTCAGGTTTTTCTAAACTTAGTTTTTCGTTTAATTTTATTATGAATTCAATGATATTTCCAGTTATGTTTCGGAACTAATTTTCCTTAGCTAGAGCTACGATGTAGCCATGACTATGAATGCTTAATTTCTGAAGTGAATTATTTCAAGTTTTCAATTTCATTGAGTATCGTTTGCTGTGTTTATATGCTTGGTTTTAGTCTTGGTGATTAGCTACCATCTTGACTTTTACTTGGTAAATTTGATGCAAGTTGTGCAGATGCCATGTTTTCAACTTGAGTGATAGCTTCTTGTAAATAGATACCATGAATTGCCTAGTAGTAGATGCCATACTCTAGGATTTGTGTAGTCTTTATATAAATTTCCACTGATCGTAATGAGTTGCATTATGTTAAACTATTCCAAATGCCATGGATGGTTGCATATTGAGATATACGTAATAGTCTAGATGCCATAGATATTACATGTGCTAGGGAAATTTGACTATCAGTGAGATTGAGTACTCGTTAATAATTCACTGCAGAAAATAAGTTGAACTGGTTATGGTGAGTCGGATGCTCTAGTGTTTTGCTCGACTAAATTATAAATTGTGTTCTTGGCTGCCACTTTTTGCATTGTGATCAAACTTTCTTGTTTTTATTTGTTTTTACTATTAGTTTCAATTCTCAAAACCATCTTTCATCAATCTTTGCTAATTTTACTTCGTTGCAATTGGATTTAAGTTAGTTGATAAGAATTAAATCATTTTCTAAGGGACGATATTAAGTGCTTGCTTTCTATATTATCAAACGATTCGTACACTTCCGAGCATAAAATTTGGAACTAAGTTGGACTAATTTCGGTTAGTTTAAATTTCGCAATAAGTTTTTGGCGCCGTTGCCAGGGATTGAAATTTAATTCTATCTCTTTCGTATTTCAATTGCTACGTGTTTTTGTTTTATTTTAATTTTTGTTTTCTTTCGTTTTCAGGTGTTTTTGTGAAGTTTATGCACGGTCGTCGTTCTCGAAGTCTTGAGCTTGTGCCATACAATCCCGAAATTGACAGAACGTTTCGACAACTACTAAGGAAGCAAAAGAAGCAAGAACCAACGGAAAGGATGGCACTTCAAGACCCAAATGAAAATCGTGCTCTTATGGATTATTCGGCTCCTACTGTTGGAGCTACATCGTCTTGTATTGTGCGTCCAGAAATTACGGCTAATCAGTTTGAGTTGAAGCCGTCATTTATCCAGATGTTGCCATCATTTTATGGTCTTTCTACTGAAGATCCAAATTTACATATTAGTGACTTTGTCGAGATATGTGAAACTTTGAAGATCCATGGGGCAATTAACGATGCTATCAGATTGCGGCTGTTTCCGTTTTCACTCAAGGACAAGGGAAACTCTTGGTTTAACTATCTGCCTGCTAATTCTATAACAACTTGGGATGAATTGGCAAATCAATTCCTTCAAAGATTCTTTCCTCCTTCGAAGACTTCTAAGTTTCGGAATGAAATCATGACTTTTGCCCAATTTGATTCTGAAGCTTTTTACAATAGTTGGGAAAGGTTCAGAGATTTATTGATGAAGTGTCCTCATCATGGCTTACCGGAATGGTTGCAGCTGCAATCATTTTATCAAGGATTGACTCCCGAAAACAAGAGAATGATTGATGCCGCTAGTGGAGGAGCTTTAATGACAAAGATAGTTGCTGAGGCATCCGCACTTTTCAAGACATTAGCTACTCATTCTCAAAAGTGGGGAGTGGAAAGAGGACCACCCAAACGTGTTGGAGTGCACGAGATTGACGCCATGTCTACCATGGCTGCACATATTTCTAACCTAAACAAAAAGTTTGATAATTTGATAAATGTTATATCTGTGAAGTCTTTTGATGTGGTTTGTGAAATATGTGCAGGTATACATGCAAGTACTGAGTGCCCGAACATTGGTTCATTTCCGGAGTATATGCAAGAGCAAGCAAATCAAGTGAACGATTTTTCTCGTCAGTGGAATAACCCATAATCGAACACTTACAATCCAGGTTGCCGTTTTCATCCAATCTTCAATGGAATAACAATCCGAATGTTATGAATCCTCCAGCTAGGCCGCCTGCTATGAATTTCCAGCCACAAGAAAAGAAGACACCAGTGGAAGACTTGATAGCTCAACTTGCTACAAACACAAATAACTTCATTCAAGCAACTCAGACAACACTCCAAAATCAGCAAGCTTCAATTGGGAAGCTGGAAGTTCAAGTTGGTCAGATTGCTAGTGCGTTGAATGAAAGAGAGATCGGGAGATTTCCAAGTCAGCCAGAAGTGAATCCGAAGAACCAAGAGCACATTAAGGTTATCACATTAAGGAGTGGAAAGACCATAGAAACGGAGGGTGCAAAGAAAGAAAAGAAGGCCGAAGAACCTGAGAATGATTCACTCACATTGCCAGATGAGGAGTTAGCACAAGAAAAGATTTATTCGCCACCCGTTCCATTTCCTCAGCGTTTGCAAAGGGCTAAGAAAGACAAGAACTTTTCTGAAATTTTAGATTTATTTAAAAAGGTACATATTAACATTCCTTTGCTTGATGCAGTGAAACAAATTCCGAGTTATGCAAAATTCTTGAAGGACATCTGCACTAACAAGAAGAGGTTCGTGGAACACGAAAAAGTGATGTTGTCTGAAGAGTGCAGTGCCGTTTTGCAACAAAAGATGCCCCCGAAGTTAAAAGATCCAGGGAGTTTTACTATTCCTTGTACAATAGGCAAATTTTCCTTTGAAAAAGCTTTGTTTGATCTAGGAGCTAGTGTTAATTTAATGTCGTTTACTATCTTTAAACAGCTTGGTCTTGGAGAGATGAAGTCCACATTGGTATCTTTACAACTTGCTGATCGTTCGGTTACATATCCAAGAGGAATCATTGAAGATGTTCTAGTTCGAGTTGATCAATTTATTCTACCAGCTGATTTCTTGGTACTTGACATGGAGGATGATCAAGAAATTCCAATCATTTTGGGCCGTCCATTCATGGCTACTGCTGGAACTCTTATCGATGTCAAAAAAGGTCTCCTCACTTTGAGAGTTCAAGGCAAGGAAGTGGTGTTCAAGGTTTTTGAGGCTATGAAATATCTAAGTGATTCTGAAAGATGCTTTCAAGTTGAGGCGTTGGAAGAGCTAGTGAATCTGAAATATATAGAGCAACATCCGGATGATCCTTTGGAAGCATGCTTGGTTCTGAATTGAGTGGTGGAACAAATGAAGATGTAGTTGCTATTTCAGCAATGTTAGATTATGCTCATGTACACAATCAGCATTGGAGACATTATTTTGAGGCTTTGGGACCAGCTCTAAAGAAAATTCAACCATCTATTGAGGTTGCACCTAAGTTAGAGTTGAAACAATTGCCGGAAAATATGAAGTATGCTTATTTAGGGGCTGCCAAGACCTTACCCATCATAATTGCTGCAAGTTTAAGTCCACTTGAAGAGGAAAAATTACTTCGGGTACTGAGAGAGTATAAAATGGCACTGGGATGGACTATAGCTGCTATAAAGGGAATCAGCCCAACGGTTTGCATGCATAGAATATTTCTTGAAGAAAACAGCAAGCCTACCATTGAAGCTCAAAGGAGACTCAATCCGCTTATGAAGGAAGTTGTTCGTAAAGAAGTTCTTAAGCTTTTAGACGTTGGGGTCATCTACCCAATATCCGATAGTAGATGGGTAAGTCCACTTCACGTTGTTCTGAAGAAAGAAGGCACAACTATGGTCAAAAGTGATACTAATGAGCTGTTGCCCATAAGGTAGAAAACGAAGTGGAGAGTCTGCACAGATTACCGAAAGATAAATGACTCCACACGGAAAGATCATTTTCCACTTTCGTTCATTGATCAGATGCTGGAATGACTTGCTGGCCATGCCTTTTATTGCTTTCTTGATGGATACTCAGGATATAATCAGATTGCTATTGCTCCCGAATACCAAGAAAAGACCATATTTACCTGCCCATTTGGAACTTTTGCATATAGAAGGATGTCGTTCGGATTATGTAATGCACCAGCTACTTTTCAAAGGTGTATAATGAGTATATTTTCTGATATGGTCGAGCGTTTTATTGAAGTATTCATGGATGACTTCTCTGTTCTTGGGTCTTCGTTTGATAATTGTCTTCACAACTTGGCGCTAGTACTGAAAAGATGCCAAAAGACTAATTTGGTGTTGAATTGGGAAAAATGCCACTTCATGGTGCAAGAAGGCATAGTCTTGGGGCATAAAATTTCAGCAAAGGGTATTGAGGTTGATAGAGCGAAGGCTGAGTTGATTGTAAATCTTCTACCACCAACTTCAGTGAAAGGAGTTCAAAGTTCCCTTGGTCATGCGGGGTTCTATCGAAGATTTATTAAGGATTTCTCGAAAATAGCCAAGCCTTTTAGTGATCTTCTTCAGAAAGATGTTTTTAAGTTCGATTCTGAATGTTTGTCTGCTTTTAACACCTTGAAGAATCTGCTCACTTCAACCCCTATTATGATAGCACCCGATTAGAGCTTTCCATTTTAATTGATATGTGATGTGAGTGATTATGCCATAGGAGCTGTTTTGGGGCAGCGAAAGGACAAACTTCCTCACGTTATTTACTATGCAAGCCGCACCTTAAATGATGCGTAGCTCAATTATTCCACCACAGAGAAGGAGATGCTTGCTGTATTATGCCATAGGAGCTGTTTTGGGGCAGCGAAAGGACAAAATTCCTCACGTTATTTACTATGCAAGCCGCACCTTAAATGATGCGTAGCTCAATTATTCCACCACAGAGAAGGAGATGCTTGCTGTAGTATTTGCACTTGATAAATTCCATTCCTATCTTATTTGTTCGAAGGTTATTGTATACACAGATCATGCAGCCTTGAGGTACTTGATGTCTAAAAAAGATGTAAAACTGAGGCTGATCAGATGGGTTCTTCTTCTTCAAGAGTTTGATCTCGAGATTAAAGACAAAAAAGGGTCTAAGAATGTGGTGGCAGAACACTTGTCAAGGCTTATTCACTATGGTGAGGCAGAATCAACTGTACCGCTTAATGAAACTTTTCCAAATGAACACTTGTTTGCTGCCCAACATGGAAAAGCCCCATGGTTTGCTGATTTCGTAAATTATTTAGCTAGTGGTGTGGTTCCGAAAGATATGAGTTTTCAACAAAAGAAGTAATTTCTCTCTATGGTCAAGCACTATTTTTGGGATGATCCGTACTTGTATAAACATTGTCCAGATCAAGTGATTCGTCGATGTGTACCTGAAGATGAACAAATCAGCATTCTCAATCATTGCCACTCTCTTGCATGTGGGGGACATTTCGGTGCCTCCAAAACAGCAGCAAAGGTTCTCCAATCCGGGTTCTTTTAGCCCTCTTTATTCAAGGATTCACATGTTTTTGTTGCCTCTTGTGATCGTTGTCAAAGGACAGGAAATATTTCTCGTAGAAATCAAATGCCTCTTAATAATATTCTGGAAGTTGAACTCTTTGATGTGTGGGGAATTGATTTTATGGGGCCATTCCCTTTTTTTTTCTTGCACAAGTGTATATTGGTAGCAGTTGATTATGTGTCGAAATGGGTGGAAGCTGTAGCCGTTCCTACTAATGATGCCCGAGTTGTTCTCCGATTTTTGAAGGCAAATATATTCACCCGTTTTGGAACCCCTCGTGCTATTATTAGTGACGGAGGAACTCACTTTTGTAACAAGCAATTTAAAGCTCTCTTGGCAAAGTATGGAATCACGCATAAGGTTGCTACACCTTATCACCCTCAGACAAGCGGACAAGTGGAAATTTCAAATCGAGAAATCAAGAAGATTCTGGAGAAGACTGTGAGTGCTTCAAGAAAAGATTGGTCGAAGAAGTTTGATGATGCTTTATGGGCATATCGCACTACTTTCAAAACTCCAATTGGCATGTCTCCATATCGACTCGTTTTTGGTAAAGCATGTCATTTGTCGGTTGAGCTAGAACACAAGGCTTTCTGGGCAATCAAGACACTGAATTTTGACATGGAAGCGGCTGGGGAGAAAAGATTGTTACAACTCAGTGAGATGGAGGAATTCTGGAACGATGCATATGAAAATGCCAAGATCTATAAAGAACGAACTAAGAAGTGGCATGATCAGAACATTCTGCGAAAAGAATTTCATGTTGGACAGAAGGTGTTGCTGTATAATTCCAGATTAAAGTTGTTTCCTGGAAAGCTTCATTCTCGGTGGTATGGTCCTTTCATGGTGGTGCAAGTTTATCCATATGGCACGGTGGAAATTCAGAATTTGGAGTCGGGAAGCATATTCAAGGTTAATGGTCAAAGATTGAAGCCGTATGTGGAAACAAATTTTGATACCATGAAGACGGTGACCTCACTTCGAGATCCAGCATAAATCTCATATAGTCTGGCTGAAGACTATAAATTTAGCACTCTATGGGAGGCAACCTATGCTTTTCTTATATTTTCTGTTTGTTTCATTTCATATTTTTCGTTTTGTTTGTTTTGTTTTCTATCTTCACTCGTTTGCTACTTGTTGACTGTTTTCTCTTGGTGTAAGAAAGTGTTTGCTGCCATACAATGTTGAATGGAAGACTAAAGTGTTCAAGTTTAGGGGTGGCTACTGCTTTGAAGACACCTTGGTTGCCATGTGAACCATAACCCAGGGAAGTTCTTTGACCAAGTGATTTAATTCATTCCTTTTCCAAGTGATTTTTATGTGCTTGCTTTCAGACATTGAGGACAATGTCTCATCTAAGTTTGGGGGTATGAGTGAGATTTTTTAAGCCCTGGTTGAAGAAAATTTGTTTAGTTCGACTATTTCATTTGAAATAAGCATGTTGCTTTTAATTGGTTGGGTCCTCCTTTTTAATTATTTACTTTTAGTTAGTGTGTTGGTTATAAATTCTGAAAGAAAAAAAATCAGAAACTTTGAAAAATACAAAAAGATTTTTGTTTTTAATTCTTGTTTTCATTTAGTTTTTTGTTAGCTTCTTGACCCAATGATGAAATTGAATTGAATTCGAACTATGGTTATTGAGAAAGTTGTAAGCATGTTTTAGGTGAATCCCTTTATTCTTTTGTTAGCTTTGTACATGTTCGATCATCCTTGAAAAGACCTAATGCACGTTGCCTTGTTGATGTGAAACTAAAGCATGGTTTAACACTTCATATGTGAATATAGTGGCTTAATGTAATCCTTGTGAGCTTTTGAGCCTATTTATATGATTGAACTATCATGCATCAATCACATTTGTTCTTGTGCGTATGATCTCATTCTTACATGTATCTCTAGAACATGCTTTATACCTCTTGAATCATTCATCAATTCATGTAATAACTTGGAAGTGATATAGGCTATTTTTGGATCGTTTGAGCCTTTCATGCCTACCTTATATGCTAATTGTATCCTTAGTAGCCCGTTGAGCCTTTAACTAAGCCATTTCTTTGTTAGCCACATCTCTTTACCATGCTCCGATATTGGAGTTGAGCCCATACACAAAAAATTGATCCCTTATTGTTTTAAGAAAGTATTACATAGGTTGTGTTTTTGGGGTTTTGTTTATATAGAAAAAGTGGATGGAGCATGTGTATTACAATGAAATGTGCATTTGAGGGGTGATGTAGCTTTGCAGATTTGAGCATGATTAAAAAAAAAAAAAGGTTAAAAATTTGCATGGTACTGTCATTAGTTGTGGTAGTATAAGTTTTCAAAAAAAAAAAAAAAAAAAAAAAGAAAAAAAAAGAGTGTGCTGGGATGTTGAAAATATGTTCTGCACAAGCTTCCTTCTATGCTTAAGTGTGAATGTTATCAAAAGTAAAGCTTGAGAGTGCAGTTGTATGTTTTAGAGGACCTAGTCTTTGGATGCAAAATATAAATTTCCATATGAAGTTGAGTGGGGGAGCAACAAGTGCTACGGGTTATGTTGTTTGTTTTCAATTTGAGTGGGTGTGATATTGGTGTTGGAAAACTACTAATGTGTACTTTCTCAAAATTTTGGTTTCCATCTCCTTTCTTTCATTAGCCTATCACCCTTAGCCCCATTACAACCCAACTAAAGTTCTATAGATTCAAGTAATTACATGATATTAATAGCGATGTAGGTTGACAAGCAAGCATATGGCGGCATGTTAGATTGAGATTACTTGAGTGAAACACATTATCCAAAAATATGAGTGAATGTGTGTATGCCCGGTGAGGATGTCACTTGTTCGCATACGATG